AAACATGGGAATTTGAAGGTGAAATTTTTTGAACAAAAGCTTTCTAGTCTTGGCAAATGTTGAAGTGTCAAAATTTTTAGTTTGGTAAAAGTGATATAATCTTGCATTCCATCTCCTTCATTTCCAACTATTTCAGTCAACATGTGGCAGCTATCTATGGTCATACTTTCTAGCTGCACCAGACTTTGTACTGTTGAGATTGAAACCAAATTTATCATCCCTTTGCAACTCCTTAAACTCAAAGTGGTGAGATTCTGGAAAGATGAAGTTGAATTTGATAATATGATCAAACTATCACATTTGACTATCTCAAGAATTTCAAGATTTGGAAGAACACATGATGAGTCATGGCTCCATATATGCATCAGATATGGAAGGCACTCCAATTTTAATGTTTTAATCCTTGAGAGTGTCTCAATCTCAATGTGTTTCTCTTGTTCTTCAACTTCTCCTTTTGAAGGGAACAACTCTTTAAAATTACAATATCTCACAATGAGATTTTCTAGATGGCAAAACCTTCTTAGGAATCCAATAGGTAAAATATCTAATTCATAATCAAGATAGTCTTGAATTCGAAGAACCTTGATATTGAAAAGAATGTCTTGTTTTGACTCATGTTCACATATCATTGCAATATCATGTCTTGCTAATGATAGTTTCTCCAATTGAGGATTGATCTGGAAAGAAATAAAATTCAACAAGATTCAATAAAATAAGATCTTATGATTTTATATATAAAAAAAGAACAAAAACATTAAAAATATTAAGTGTATTTCACATGGAAACCAAATACACTTCTTATTATTAATTGAACTGAAAAATGTTGTATAGTGTATTTTTAGGTGGAATGAATGTAATGAATTGTACAGTTCATAAGTTTCTATTCTTAATTGCCAGAACTTGCATAACAATAGAGTTTCGGGTTTACATGTCAGTTTTTAGAAATTTTTATTATGGAATACAATTGTCAAATCTATTCATGGGGTGGCAAAGACATGTTGCAAACATCCAAACATTTTACATTTGCTTGTAAGCATTAAGCACTTGTATTTGTATAATTTCTAAACTAGACACCGAAGGAAGAGAAAGGGACTTCTGGCTATTTGTTTTGTGAGAATTGGCATTCGATATTTGTTTTGTCAAACCATGATTATCATAGTTTTGCCATGTGCTTATGCTATTGTTTGAGTCTATGGAGGGTTTGGAACCTATGCTAATTTTACGTAATTGTTTGGGCTCTAAGTTGAGCAACTTTGATTGATTGGACCTCTACACAATAAAAAGCTACGGTTGGCCTTGATTAATGTGAAGTGCACCACAAATTGTTAACTGGACTCCATAGACTCTGATTGTTTGTTTTTTTGAATTGTTTAGTAATCTAATGATATTTATTATGTTTGAAGTTAATGATTTAGTGTTGAATTTATGAAAAACCTATCTATGAGATTTGATCTATATGATTAAGCTATGCCTGTCACCTTAATATTTTATCTTATTTAGATTCTGGTTATAAGTTTTAACATTGATTATTTGACTATTCGTGTTAATTTGACTCAACGCTCACAGCTTTGGGTTATGACTTATGCTTAGTGAGCTTCATAGCTCATGTTTGTTTCTCTAACCATTTTAGGTTAACTGTACGGTTAGCGTTTTGGAAGTCCAGAAATTTCTTATTGTTTATGCGAAGGTAAATTGTATCTTCTCAACATTGCCTATGACTTAATTTTTTCTTTTAAGTTTTTTAAGTTTGTTCCAATACTAGGTATAATCAGAAGAGATTTCTTCAGTTAAACCAATCATTACACTTTGTAAATAGATTTTGAAATGGACTTTCCACTTAATACATGTATAAATAATTTGACTTTAAAATAATATGCCTTTAACTTATAAGATACTATCTCTTAACTTAATATTTCTTGCTTACTATACCTGGCTTCTAAAGCTTAACATTTAGTACACTTCTATGCTAGATCAAATTATGCTTTCAAGTTATAGAAGTTCTTATTTTTAACTAGATTTTCTAACCATAACAGTAATTGGTTTGCTCTACAGAATTCAAAAGCTAAAGCCAGCTCTTTCTTCCTTCATGATTCACTAAGTAGCTTGTTTTTCTTAGTCTACAGATCTAGATTTTCTTTACAATGGTTCGATAGTCATAATAAAAGAGTTTTTAACTATGTTTTTCTTAAATGAACATAAGCAAATTTATCCAATACAGAGATTCCAAACAATAATGACAAAGTTAAAGAAATACCAAGAATTATCTTCATGTAGTCTCAAGTCTTAGTAAAGCAAGTTACCATGTCGTTCCAATAGATATCATTATCCATGTATGGTGATTATTAAAAATTAATGTCTTGTTACATGATATATATTTGTAATAAGGTGTTCTTTTATTATTTTATTTTGACAAGAGGCTCTACTTTAACAATGGAAAGTTATGATACGAATCATACCTTTGCCATGGAGAAATGTGGTAATTGTACGGGGAAGTCAAGTTGCTCATGCCCATCTGCTCTCTTTACTTGATTAAAATGGGAAAAACAGAACTCTTTTAACATTGGCCACACTGTTGTGTGCTTTCTTGGGCAAAAACATTGGAGTCTTGGTAGCACCTCAAGCTTGAGACTTGTCACTTGAGGAAATTCAAAGCTAACAACTGTTTCAGCTTCTTGTTCTCCCATTGGGACAATTTCCTCCACCCCACATTGGTATAAATGTAGCTTTTGGAGTTGCAAAAGGCTTTTGCCTATTGAAGCTGGAAACAAATTTTTGAGACTCCCACAACAACTTACCTCAACTGATTCCAGGTTGTGAAAAGTGAGTATTCCTTGGGGATCCTTATTCCACACATGCTTCAATCTTGGTAGACCTTCAATCCTCAATTCTCTAAACTTGGTGCCAATTACAGCATGTGTTTGTTTGACATTGAACTCGCTAATTTCAAATATCCATTCTAGTGAGCCACACTGATATATAAATAACACCTCTAGGGATTTCAAGATTTTTCCCAATATATCAGTAGAAGGAAAAACAGTTGATAGCTTTTCGCAATTTCTAACTGTTAATGATTTTAGTCTGCAAAAGGAATCTGCATATAGTTTGTTGTGCCATATCATCTCCAAGTTTTTCAAGTGGGTGATAGTCAACCGTTCCAAGTTGAGAAATGTAGCCTACATAATGAATGAATGCATCATGCCATTGAAAATGAAAGGATAAGGATGATTATTAGTCCCTAAAATTGAAACCAAAATGAAAGTAAATGAGGAATATGTTACCTCAATAGAAGGAAACAGGGTCAATAACTTTTCACAATTTTCAACCTTTAATGATTTTAGTCTACAAAAGGAATCTGCATATAGTTTGCTGGGCCATATGGTCTTCAAGTTTTTCAAGTGGTTGATTGTCAGCGATTCCAAGTTGGGAAATGCAGCCTACATAATGAATGAATGCATCATGCCATTGACAATAAAAGGATAAGGATAATTATTAGTCCATAAAATTAATGCCAAAATGAAAGTAAGTGAGAAATATGTTACCTCAATAGAAGGAAACACAGTCAATAACTTTTCACAATTTTCAACTGTTAATGAGTTTAGTTTGCAAAATGAATCTGCATATAATTTGCTGTGCCATATGATCCCCAAGTTTTTCAAGTGGGTGATAATCAGCCATTCCAAGTTGGGAAATGCAGCCTACATAATGAATGAATGTATCATGGCATTGACAATGAAAGGATAAGGACAATTATTAGTCCCTAAAATTCAAGCCAAAATAAAAGTGAAATAAGGA